AAGTGATACTGCCTCGGAAACCCAAGGAGGGGTCGCTATGAGTCAGGGCTGACTCGACGGCACATAACAACAACAACAAAGGAAAATGGGGAAAAAAAAAGTTACTGAGGTTTTAGAAATGGAAACACAGCTCCTACTTGAGAGAACGGCTTTCTTTTCCTGAGAATACTTCCCATAATTAGATTGCCTAATTTTATAATCACCCTAGAGAACTTAACAGGTCCCTGGGAAACACATCCTTAACCTTCCTGTTATGCATGAGAGATCAGGAAGCCAGCTGAAGCTGCTGGGTATACAGATAAAACAGACCTGAATCCGCGGCCAATTATACTCATCAGGGACCTCCTTGTAACTTCAGGCTAACTCATGGCTGGACAATGTATACGGGAGACAGTCTTCTGCCACACCCCACCCATCACTATTTCTCTGTTCCAGCAAATGAAAGATGCTGAAAGGCACTAGAGGTCCTAACAATGCATCAGCTTGTTATTAATAACAATATTTATTATCAACTTAGGCGGCATTTAACCCAACTTGGAGACTTATCCACTTCCATCAGGATTCACCGCCTTAGCACTAACAAGAAAGGTGAAGAAGAGAAAGGAGGCTGGTCAAAATGTTAGCAAGGCATGACCTGGAATTACTCAGCACTTAATTTTTGATGCACTAGAAGAATTCCAAAGCAGCCCTGGTGGCGCAGTGGTTAAGTGCTCAGCTGCCAATTGAAAGGTTGGTGGTGCAAATCCACCAGCCGCTTCACGGGAGACAAAGATGTGGCAATCTGCTCCCATAAATGTTACAGCCTTGGAAACCCTATGGGGTAGTTCTACTCTGTCCTATAGGGTCACATGAGTCAGAATTCCAGGCCATGGAAATGGTCAGGAAAGGTCCTCATGCATTTCCTTCAAGAATGTGAAAACATTCTCCTCCTTCCCCATATCAACTGGCAACCCTGGGAAGTTTATACAAAGACAAAAAGACCTGTAATTTCTGTTTCATAAATGGATTCTGGAAAAACAGTAAACTGAGTGAAAAATAACTTGGTAAATAAAAACGCTTAAATTATTTTTTTAAAAAAAGACTGACCGCCTAGAAACCCAAAGGGGGTCGCTATGAGTTGGAATCAACTCAATGGCAGCGGGGTTTTTGTTTGTTTTAATATCATACAATGCAATACACGTGTGTGTATTTTCAACAGGTCTCAAAATCTTCCAAATCTTTTCAAGGTAACCAATTAGATTGGTGACAGAAACAAAGAGGGAGCCATAAAACAGTAAGGAAGCCAATTTTGTTAATAACTGGAAATTGATGCATTTCTGCAACCTTCTACAGGAATTAGAAACTCAAACATCACGAATGGCAAAGGCTGGAGGCAGTTTAATGCTATTCAGTCCACGTGCAACCCCACAGAAAGCCATTCCAAACACTCTACAACCAAGATTCCTTGGCATCTTCTCACCAACTTTCCTGCTTACTAAAGGCCTAGAGACTGAACATCTAACGACACCAGAACCCAAGGTTCTAACACAGTGGACGTTACTGTAGGTCTCAAGGGGCTCTGAACCACGGTGAAGCTGAACTGAGAGGTCTTAAATCTTGCATAGGGTAAAGGTGTTCATAAATAAAAATTACCAGACTAACATGTGCAGCACATTGGGCCCATCCTAATGTTCACCCAAGTCCCTCCCCCACTCACCCCAAAAGCCACTTTGACTGACCTGTGCCCTTGGGAGGTCCCGAGCCCACATAATCGGAGAGGACTGTGCCACTGCTAATGTCATTGCCTTTCATGTTGACCACCAGAAAATGGTGCCATTCCCTGTGTGGAAGGACAGAGGATCATCAGCAGCACAGCCAGTCATGAATTCACCAAGCCAACTGTGTACTGAGCACAAGCCCCAGACCAGGCTACAGCCATGACAACACAGAGCCGGTCCCCGCTTTCTCAGAAGCCGGTGCAAATCTCCTCCACATGCAGAAGACGGCACCCAGCCCCACCCCCCGAGTCCCTGGGGCATGCCTTGGCCAAAGTTTCTGAGAGGGCTACAGAGAATAGATGGTAGGTTATTTTTGAGTCATACTGTCTCTGTGACTACTCAGCTCAATGTGGTAGTTGTAAACAGACACAAGCAAAACGTAGATAAATGATCATGGCTGTGTTCCTATAAAACTGAAAGTGGAGTTTCATATAATGTTGACATGTCACAAAGTATTTTCAATTTTTTTTTCCAACCATTTAAAACTAAAGAAACCATTCTCAGCTCATAAAGCTGTACAAAAACTGGCTGTGGGTGGATGTGGCTCTGGACTGTAGTCTGACCCCTGCTGTAGGAAGGGAAGAGGCAGGAAATGCATGCTGATTTAAGCACAGGTGTGAACATCCCAACCAGGTCCACTCTTCTCCTAGGCTAGCTATCCAGCCATGGCTTACAGTCTGAAAACTGCAGCTCATATGTGGATGACCCACTGTTCCTCATCTCTCTCAACTTACCTGTATTTGGGGTCCTTCCTGCTGGGAGCATCTGGGTCTGTCAGGACCAAGGTGTAGAGTTTACCTGAGTCAAGGCCATCCCATGTAATGCTGGTGGGGCGGTTCTTGACCTGCAGTGAGGAAACTGTGGAGTTAATTCAGAAATGCTGAAGAAACCAGTGTTCCTTCTTAGATCAAAGATAAAACAACATAAATGATGAATAAAAATTAACTCTGTATCGACTCTGCTAAGAGCCAAGAGCTAAAGGTCTTCACGCAGTCCCCGGATTAGGAACAAGTGCTGTTCCTAAGTCTGTCTTTAAGTGAAATTTGTACATAGTCTGAATAGTTAGGCACAATCCATATCTAATGTCAGTCAAATATCTGTCTTAGTATATATAGTATATAGTGGAGCTCTGGTGGCGCAGTGGGTAAGGCATTTGGTTGCTAACCAGAAGGTTAGTGGTTCAAATTCACCAGGCACTCCACAGGATGATGATGCAACTTATATCCGCAAAGATTTACAACCTTGGAAACCCTATTGAGGTCGCTATGAATAGGAATCGACTTGATGACAAGTATAACATATAGTGTATCTTTGTAGGCATAAAAAGCATTTAAGAATCACTTCCAGGCACACTAAAACATCCTTAACATCATAATATGGTAATTATAATAATAATGTTTTAATGCATTTGGCAAAGTAATGCCCCTTTGTCACTGTAACCATTGTTCACACTTCGAATTTTTAATATAATAGACTTCACAGGATTGGTTCTTAACCACAAGTTGTAACTGGGGGCTGCTTGCAGGTTATTCAGTGTAACACTAAGAACACTGGGGGGTAGTGTCCCAGTTATGTAAGTGACAGAAAGAGGTGAGGCCAGGAGTCCAATCCTGGCCTTGACTGAATCTCCAACCTTGACTGTCTCTCCCATCAGAAAAGCACTGAGAAGATAAAAGTCTGTGGAGTGGGTGGACAGGTTTACCACTTTAGGCCTGCTAAGTAACTAATTAACTAATTAACTAGATGTTTACCAAAAAAAAAAAAAAAACTCCCTGCCGTTGATTTGATCCCGAGTCACAGAGACCCCTCCTTGGATTTCCAAGGCAGTATCACTAAGGAAGTAGATTGCCCAACCTTCCTTCCGAGAGTGGCTGGTGGGTTTGAACCGCCAGTATTCTCGTTAGCAGTCAAGTGCCTTAGGCACTATACTACCAGAGACGTTTACAGGGCGCAAGAGATGAGAAAGGCAAGTGGTGACGCAGTGAGTATGAGAAAAGGGAGATTGTCAGCTTCAAGATTGTCTCTTTATACTTAAAAATTAAAAAAAAAAAAAAAAAAAAAAACCTCTCCCTGAAGCCAGTTTATTCCCCCGTTGCCTGACGCTTCGTATCCAGCAACTAGCAATGATGTGGAAAAACCTAGTTGTTCCACTTTGAGCAGCTCGGCCAACGACGCCAGACGCGAAACGATAAAAACAAAGCTGGCAGTTGTCCTGGAGCCTGCTAACTGCATAACGCATTCTCGCTTTGGGTGGATGCCATCTACGACCGCTAAAACAAAGAAGAAAACGCTGGGCACTGCCGATGACCAGTTACATAACGCGTCATGTGTTCTCCGATGGGGCGTCTGCTCCTAATCTGAGGCCTAAAATCCTGAAACCCCAAGGGAAGCTCTGGGAGCGTCAGGCCGCCCACGGCCCCCTCCCTGGTCCCTGCCCCCGGAGTCGGGGCTTCTTCCGGATCTAGGCCCTTCTCCGTGCCCTTAAGTCCTGGAAGAGCAGATCAATTTCTCACTCAGGCCGAACCTGCGCTCCACGCACTGGGTTCACAGTGGTCAGGACGGCCTCCAGGCTTGAGGCACAGCACTGGGACGCCGCTTTCCACTTTGGCCCCGGGGTCCGCACGCAGGAATCCCCTCCCTCCTTCCAACGACCTCCGCCCTCATCGGCCTGCACGCTTTCAAACCTCGAGCAGCTAAACCCGTGCGGCAGCAGCGGAGCCGAGGACGCCCAGACCACCCGCGGCCTCGGATACCTGGGTGGGCGTCAGCACTTTGCCCAGCTCGTCGATCTCTACCCCGCCGTATTTGACCTGCAGCGAGTGCTGCGGCTGCTCATCCACTTCCTGCAGGCTCAAGGGCCCAGTCCACTTGCTGAGGTCCGCCGGCATCGCGGAGCAGAGAGGAGCGGAGAGCCGGGAGCGCAGCACCAGCGGAAGACCACGACAGCCCAGCAACACCTGCTCGGAGCCGCGTAGTAACCGGAGCGCACGCGCCAGAGCAACGCACACCATCTCCGCGCCCCCCGCCCCTTGTCACGAGCCCGCAGAGGCAGCACTCTGGTCTCTGATTGGCTCAACTAGGTATCGCGGGGCGTCTCGCTCTCGTGTTGAAGCCGCAGGGCTAGACTTTTGCATTGCACCAAGACCGCAGTCGCTAAAGTCCTCGGGACTATTGCTAAGCTTGCCATACATTGTTTCAAGAAATGCAACTGAGCCAACTTTGAATTTTTAAAAATATTTTGTATGTTTCTTTGCTCCATTTTCTAAACTCAGAAATGGAGGGTCTTGCTTTTTCTCTTGCACGTGTTGAAACAGGCATGCTCTGCGCCCTGTATTCCCACGCATGCGCACTTGTTTTGGTGGCAAGCCTGAGCAGATTTTTCATAATTTTCCACTGTCTTGAGCATTTCTCACCCCCCTACACACGCACACCTACACACCTCTCTTTTGTTCTCTCTCTGCACATACATTTCATCCTCCTTCCCACTTGATCCTCACAAGACTCTTGAGAAATTATTTTTTAAACCATAATTTTTCCTATTTTGTTTATAAGTGCCTCCACCTCCACCACAACTGCTCTCAGTGTGTCACCAACTGCTTTCTTTTCACTAAATATAAGGTTGTTTGGTGCAAACAAGTGGGTTCTCTGACTCCTAGCGACCTTAAGTATAACAGAAGGATATGTTTGCCCAGTCTTGTGCCATCCTCACAATTGTTGCTGTGTTTCAGCCCCTGGCAGCCAGAGCGTGTCTTTGAGGGTCTTCTCTGTTTTGCATGATGTCCTTTTCTTGGGATTGGTCCCTCCTGATAACATGAGAAAAGTAAGTGAGGTAAGTCTCACCATCCCCGCCTTTGAGGAGCATTCTGGCTGAGCTTCCTCCAAGATACTTGTTTGCTTTTCCAGCAGTCCATGGATAATGAATAAGGAAGACCTAAGAAGAACTGATACATTTGCATAATGGTGTTGGCGAAGAATGTCGAATAAACTCTGGACTAAATATATTAGAAGGAGCTCTGGTGCTGCAGTGCCCAAGCCATCTGACTGCTAACCAGAAGGTTGGTGGTTCAAACCCACCAGCCAATGCACAGAAGGAAGATGGGGCAATCTACTTCCCCAAAAGATTGACTGCCTTGGAAACCCAATGGGGGTCGCTGTGAGTGGGAATCGACCAGATGGCAGTGAGTTTGGTTTGGGTGCAGAAATATAATAGGCACTGCAGTAGCATAGTGCCTAAGGCACTTGACTGCTAACCAGAAGGGTGACGGTTCAAATCCACCAGCCACTCCTCGGAAGGAAGGTTGGACGATCTACTTCTGTAGTGATACTGCCTCGGGAAACCCAAGAAGGGGTCGCTATGAGTCGGGTCCGACTCCACAACACATAACAACAACAACAACACAATGGTCCTTAATCTGATTTGGTCCTATGGTAGGTAGGTAGATGGATGGATGGGTGGATGGATGGGTGGATGGGTAGAAAGAAAGAAAGAATTTGTTTTTTAACGTTTTGTTGTGATTTGGTTGAAAGTTTAAAATGCAAATTGGTTTTTCATTCCACGATTCATACCCATTTTGTTTTGTGACAATGACTGCGGTCCTCACAATGTAACACACTCTTCCCACTTCCTGTATTTCCCGTTTCTATCTGTCCTTCTTTCCTGTTCTTTCCCGCCTTGTGAGTTTTATCCCCTGGCAAATGCTGTCCTTAGGATCTCCTGTGGTTGGTCGTAAAAAGGACAATCTTTGACATTTAAAACTACCTCTCAAGGACTAATATAGTTGTCTGTTGTTTTCATTTCTTAACAGGAAATAATACAAGTTCATTGATTTTTTAATCAGAGAAAAATAAATAAAGTGCCTTCTATTCTACTACCTGAATATAAACATAGTTGTAACAATTTGGAGTATTTATTTCCTCTGTGTGTGTGTGTGTGTGTGTGTTTAAATGAGTATAGACAAGTGTTGGTTTTTTTTTTCCACAAAAAATGACATTATACTCCACCATTACAGAATATCCATATCAAATATAGATCTTCCTCATTTTAATGGAGTTCTGAATGGCATAGTGCCTAAGGCATTTGACTGCTAACCAGAAGGTTGGAAGTTCAAACCCAGTAGCCACTCCATGGTAGGAAAACTGGGCAATCTACTTCCATAAAGATTTACCACCTCAGAAACCCAAAGGGGAGTTGCTGTGGACTGGAATTGACACCATAGCAGTGACTTTGGTTTTGGTTTATCTTACTCTAGTTGTGCCATAACTTACTCAACAAACCTTTGGCATTGGACATTTAGGTGGTTATGTTTTGTTTTCCTTTTACAAATATCTGTGAAATGAACATCCTTGTACATACATTTTTACACATTTGACAGATTGTTTTAGGAAAATGTAGCAGAAGAAGGTGTTAGAGGCCAAAGACAGGTACTTTAACAATTGGGTCAAAGAAAGCAATGGAATGCCTCGCAGCCAGCTGTCAGATTCCAGGGTGGAGGCAATACTTTGAAAAGTATTTCAAAGAAGAAATACTGATCCAATTATTAGTTCTTTCCTACATTCACTCCGTAAATGCATCTTGAGAACCTTCTAAACAAAAGCAAAAGTAGTCCCTGACTGTCCCAGAGTATGTGGTCTAGCAATGGAGGGAGGGGGACTCAGTCAATGACTCTGGATAAAATATAAAATGACCTCCTGTGATCAGGGCCAGAGAGATAAGACAGGCCCAGGCTGGGGGCCAGCATCACAGAGTAACCTGAACGTGTTCTCACTACCTCCCTGGGTGGCCTCTGGGACATCACCTGTACCTTCTCTGTACCTGAGGCTCAGGGCGGACTGCTGCAGTGTAAAGATGAAGTGATGGACGTAAAACCTCTTGGGAAAAGTGAAAAGATATTCTAGACATTCCTGCTTCTGGCGACCATTCTTGTCCCTTCCTTCCACCAACAAGCAATTTGTCACCAGCTCCATACATCCCACCTCTTTGGTGACCTTCTAGTGAGTCTACTCTTACCCACACTGCCCTCTGTCTGGTGAGGCCCCTGGAGTCACTCTCTGTGACCACTGCTGCCCATCTTCCTCCTTCTGGCCCATCCTTAAGTCCACAAAGTCCACACTAGTCTTTCTCAGAAGCTGTGCTGGTTATGTTTGTGTGTCAACTTGGCTGGGCCTGGTGGAGTGGCTGGGCAGCTGGTGGTAGTTATTCCCCATGGTGAGACTGGCAATCAACTCCATGGTGAGATCTACCACAAGCAGCTGAGTAGCTGCCTTTGGGATGTGGTCTGCTTCCTGTATATAAGGAGAAGCCTTGTGGTCGCTAGCCTATGGCACACTTAGACCCTGCATGTAGCCGTGTCGTTGCTCAGCAGCCTGCTATACTCTGCCAACCTTGGGACTTACAATGGATTTAAGTGAATGGCCTGCTGTGTGGTTTGGTAACATCAGGACTGTGCCTTTTTACTTGTCAACCTTGGGCTTCTCAGCCTCAGCAGCCAGCAGCTGTCTGAGTGAAGAAACACCTCTAGCTCCAGTGGGCCAGAAGCAGGAGGCAGAGCAGGACCCCAAGGTTGAGGGGCTTTCACCCAGCCCCTAGAGCCTGGCATTTTTAACTGGGACTTAAAGCCTCAACATTGTAAGAATAAACTCCTGTTTGTTAAGACCATCCATCCCATTTGTGGTATATTTCCTGTCAGAGTGGCCCTAGGGAACCAGAACAGAAGTGAAGCAGGTCCATCCACCATAACACCCCCTATGGCTCTCCATTGCCTGAGGATAAAGTCCACACTCTTTTTTTTTTTTTTTTTTCAACTTTTTATTGTGATTTAGGTAAATTTAGGTAAAATTTTACAAAGCAGATTCATTTTCCATTCACCATTTCATACACATTTTGTTTGGTGACGTTGATTACAGTCTCAACATGCAATAGCTCTCTCTTCCTACTTCCACCCTATGGCCCCCTTTCCCTGGAGCCTTCTCCCCTATGTATTCCTGCCTCCCTAGCTTACTCCCTAGGCAAATGCTGCCCTTTTGATACCCCATGGTTCATTGTTCTAAGGAATGTATATCCCTGGTGTAATTATTCACCTCAGAGGCCTGTCTATTATTTGGCTGAGAGGTAAGCCATGGGAATGAGTTCAATTCCAGGCCCAAAGGGTGACTAGGGGCCGTAGTCTCGGGAGTTTCCCCAGTCTATCTGTGACCAATAATCCTGGCCTTTTTTATGATTTTGAATGGTTTTCTCACACTGTGTTCAGGATCCAATTCTGATCCCTTTCTGAGTTGTTAGCTCTGGTAGCTGGGCACCATCTAGGTCTTCTGGTCTAAGGTTCCCATTAGTCCATTAAATATTTTATTTTCTTCACTCTTCTTTGCTCCTGAAGAGGACATACCAATGGATGCATCTTAGATGGCTGCTTGCAAGCTTTTAAGACTACACTCACTGAAGTAGGACGTAGAACAATGTTTTTGTGTACTATGTTGTGCCAGTTGAGTTTGATGTCCCCCTAGCTTTTTAACTTTTTAACTCTGCTTCCAAGCCCACAGGCCTAGTGTCAAGTGCAGACTCTTAACAAGCTCCTGGAAACTTCTCTTTCCCTGTTGCCCCTTCTTCTTTTCATTCTTCTCTCTAAACACTGAACTTGTTTCAGTTTCTCAGAGGCATTGACTTGTCATTCTGTCTCTGAGCTTTTGCATATGCTGTTCCCTCTAACTGGATTACTGTCCTACCATCCCCCCAACCCTCACTGTACTCTTGACCCAGATCACTTTTGCTCATCTTAAACATCACTTCTGCTTTCTCCTATTCATCAGGGCTGGGGAAAATGCCCTGGTCTCTGTATGCACATCCACCCTGCCCTTCCTCTTTCTTAGCCCTCAGAGCATTTGGAATTTCTGAACC